TTCTGGTGTTGAAGAAACTCATTCCGTCGACGTTTGTGCTTGTCGTTAGAGTACCTAAACCGTTTAAAAATTGTTCAACTTGTTGCTGCAAGGTAGTATTAGGGGCGGTGTAGTTTGACCGAACTATCAAGGTAAGAATGACGTGGTCTATGAGGTTTTTACCGACTGGTAGATCCGCAACTAGAGGGATTTTTAGGTCTCGTAAATGGTTTCTGGGTCCAATTCCCGATAAAAGTAGTAGCTGTGGGGTGTTGACGGCACCTGCCGAAACGATCACTTGTTTTCTAGCTCGTACTCGGAATTTTTTATTGTTGGTTACGAATTCTACTCCTAATGCTCGTTTATATCGTCGATCGATTATGATTTTTGTCACCAGGGCTTTGGTCACGACTTTGAGGTTACTACGTTTTCGGGCGTTGTTCAGAAATGCCGTCCCAAAGCTTTTTCTTCGACCTCTTTTAGTGTTAATCTGTAGTCTAGTTACACCGATCTGGCTTCTACCGTTATAGTCTACGAATGTTAAGTTCGTTTCTAAACTACCATTGACGAAGTTGTCGTACAGTGGAGACAATGGTAGCGAATATTCAATATTCCAGAAACCGCCTATTCCGTGATAGCCTTTATCACCATCGACTTGCGAATTCTCGGATTTTTTAAAGTACGGCAGGACATTCTTGTAGGACCATCCACGATTTCCTAGTGCCGCCCAGTTGTCGTAGTCCTTGTAGTTTCCTCTGACGTACATTACGCCATTGATTGAGCTTCCACCCCCTATTACCTTCGCTCTAACCATGTTGCACTGTGAGTTGTTCATTCCTAGATTTCAGGATTAGAAAGTGTTAGTTAATATTAACAGTTTACCTAAGCAGGAGTATTTTTGTGGTATGGTATAATAACCCCAGTTAAGTTCGCTAAACTGGTGGTACGCCCACAACCCAGGTATTTGATTGAAGTCATTTTCTTCGCCTCCAGCCTCTATTAAGAGAATACTAATTTTCGCAATTTCGGATAATCTCGTTGCAACAATACATCCTGCTGTACCCGCTCCCACTATAACCACGTCGTATTCACCATAATCTAAAACCAGAAAATGAAATCGTTGCGAATTGACTCCGTTTTCTATCGTTTATTTCGTCAGATTCGAACCCTGTTCTGAATTCCTCGTTCTTTTTGGGCAGCTCGTACGTGAGTGCTTTTGCAGTTTCTTGAGATATTAGTTGTTGGTAGTAGTCGGAGGTGAGTGAAGCACTTACCGCAGCAACAATTAAACAGAAAAGTGCCTCAAATAGCAGTGCCATTTTTTGAGGAAATTATTTCGTACCTTAAGTGGCTATATTTGACTTTAAACTGTTTTTTTTGATAACTGCAACCATTGTTTTTATCAATTCGATGGCATTTATGGGTTGCATTTTATTCACTATTTTGCGACATTGTTGTTTATGTCGTCCTTAAATTACTCTGATTTATTGGAATTGGAATTGTTTACAGCGGCTAAGAAAGAATTATTGTGGAAAAGTTTGACAGTAGTTAGCGTCATCAGGAATATTTAGCAAAACTTACCAAGTTTCAGAGTCAAAAAATGCCTGGAATGGAAAATCCGATTAATTACCTATAAAATAATTTTAGATAAAGCATAAATACCTGTAACCCGGTCTAGCCAGACCGGTGTGGGTCCCAACAATATTAGTGTAAGAATAAACAAAATGATTGCTCTTACCTTTTTTGATGGCGGCGTCGACACCAGGTCACATATTTCACTGTTGAAGTCGCGAACCGCAAAGAGGGGTTGTCAAAAAAAAAAAAGGAAGAAAACTACAAAGTAGTCTCGACCAGCCTCCTTTATTATTCGCACACGTTTAGAAATTTATCAAAGCAAAACACAAAAACAAAGACAACCTTAACTCTATGAACACAAACTGAATTTAAACTAAAAGCTGAAAATTGAACACAAGTCTACACAAATCGCAAAGAATCAACCCGCAGGAGAAGTTCCCGACCGACCACTTCAGAACCGAAACAGTAACTAAATTTTTGGACAAAATTTTGAAGCCAAGTCGTACCTTCCTGGTTAGAGGGGGTACTTCTTAGCCAACCACCTCCGTTCGGGGGCGGTTTCGCGCCGGGGGCTTTTTCCCACAGCTTTGACCTAAAAAGCGAGCAAGGACTTTGAGCGGGTGGTCTGTCGGCAAATTCGTCCAATTCATAGAAATATCCTTCCCGTACAATCGGCTTACAACAACAAACGTAAGTTACAGAGGTACTCTGCGCCCATTGTAAACGGTGAGAATTTCCTATCTCGAACCCTAATAAAAATTTCCCCACTTCGGAATTTGCTGGCCGATTTCTTCGGCCCATGCTCGAGGCGGCAATGCAAAACAGCCTCTACAAATCCGGAAGCGAGACAATCTGTCCGGCCGAAACTAAAGCTCTTTTCTCAAAAAACCCTATTACTATACACAATTATCAAATCTACAATTAAGGAAAATCATCTATCTCTACGAATAAGTTCCGCGTCAAAGACTGACATATCTGGTGCTTAATGGCTTCGATCAAGAACGTTTCAATTTTACAACTCTAAACGATGGGTTTCCACGTTATTGCTAGGGCCCATTGTATAGAGTGCATCAAACCGAAAACGTGCTCGGTCTATGGGGATTTTTTGGAACTTGGGTACGGACGGATATTGCAGGGTAATTTCGGAATTTTGGGCAGTAAGACGGGACGGCGTAATAAACCATTATTCAACAGAAATGACATCTTCGTTTTCTGGAAAAGTTCCCATCAGAAAAATGCGCCGGTTGCCTCTAATAAACGCGATGGTTTGCAAGTGTTACATACCTTATAAAATATATAAGCCCGCCCACCCGCCCTAACTCAATTGTGATGATTTTTTTTATTCGCCGTGAATCAAGAGGGGCGTAGTTTAACTGCAAAATACGTATTTCTTTACAAGAAATTAAAATCATGTTTTTCAGTATCGTCTTGTTCAAAGAATGTCTATTAAGAAAAAATGCAAAATATTAATCCCGCCCACCCACCCCTTCTACATTGTGATAATTTTTTTTTATTTTTAGAAACTTAAAACACGTTTAAAACGGTAAATTTTTGTAAGGAAATATAGATTTTGCAGTTAAGCTCCGCCCTCTTGACTCACGACGAATAAAAAAATCATCACAATTGAGATAGGGTGGGTGGGCGGGGCTACATTTTGCCTTTTTTTTATTAATATGTGTAGACTTATTTCGACGACAAGAAACTTAAAATTGCCCCTTTAAATACGGCAAAAGTTGAACACCAAAATTACTATCAATGGCAACTTGGAACGGAGTTTATAAATGTCAATTTTCAGCTATAAAAGCAACGCGAAACAGCAACTTCAACGTCAACAACAAGTTTATAAAACCCCACTTAAATCGTCTAGTGCAATATTAAACATATAATTTGTTTGAAGAAGAGAAAAACGCCGTTTACTTCTGGATTTTTATTACACATTTCGTACATTGCAATTAAACAGGTTCATTATAACTCCGATTTAATGATGTCTGCGCCTTTTTCGGCCACCATTGCAGTGGGTGCGTTGGTATTTCCAGATACCCCCAGTGGAAAAATAGACGCGTCAACAACCCTCAAATTTCCAACCCCATGCACTCTCAATTTATCATCAACAACAAACTTTCTACGATCTGGACCCATTGCTGCCGTCCCGCAGGCATGATAACCACTAGATGCGTAATTACGGATGACGCACTCCAAGTACTTTTTCGAATTTTTCTCAAAATTGCTACATATGGGATCGTCAAGTACCGTAGCGTTTATTTTTTGGAAAGCTTCAGTTTGGAAAAGTCTAAACGCGTACTGCATCCCTTCGCCCAAAATGTCTACGTCTTCTTGTTCCTCGAACATGTTTAAATCGATACTTGGAAAGTCAATAGGATTCGTTGATTGTAACTGGATTTGGCCTCTGGATTTTTCGTGGAGTAGTATGACGTACCATCCTATGTCAGTTTGTGGTTTGAGTAGCTTCGCATATGCTTGACTAATCGTGTCGTTGAAATTTTGGGTTCTTTGAAACAGAGGAGAGACAACGGCGGGGGGCGCTGCCATGACTAGTTGTATTGCAGGTCCTTCCCCGGAATTATTTCTAGTATGGAAGAAACTTAATCCGTCTATGTTTGCCCCTTTTGTTAAAGGACCCAAACCGCTTAAGTATTGCTTAACTAATTCCTCCGTGCTGGTATTAGGGGCGATGTAATTCGAACGAACTACCCAAGTAACCACTGGGTGTTCTATGAGATTTTTACCCACTGGTAGATCTGCAACTAGGGGGATTTTCAAGTCTCGTAGATGACTGCGGGGTCCGATTCCTGACAGCATTAATAATTGTGGAGTGTTTATGGCACCTGCCGAAACTATAACTTCTTTTGTGGCTCGCACACGAAATTTTTTGTTTCCAGTTACAAATTCTACTCCTGTTGCTCGTTTCGATCGTCGGTCTATGGTGATTTTTGTCACTAGAGCTTTGGTCACGACTTTGAGGTTACTGCGTTTTCGGGCATTGTTCAGAAATGCTGTCCCAAAACTTTGTCTTCTGCCTCTTTTAATATTGGACTGTAATTTACTTACACCAAACTGGGTTCTACCGTTATAGTCGATGAATGGTAGATTCATTTCTAAGCTACCATTGATGAAGGTGTCGAATAATGGAAAGGATGGTAGTGAATATTCAATATTCCAAAAACCGCCTATTCCGTGATAGCCTTCATCACCCTCGACTTGCGAGTTCTCGGACTTTTTAAAGTATGGAAGGACATCCTTGCAGGACCATCCACGATTTCCTAGTGCGGCCCAGTTGTCGTAGTCCTTGCAGTTGCCTCGGACATACATTGCGCCATTGATTGAGCTTCCACCCCCTATTACTTTAGCTCTAACCAAAAGGCACTGTGAGTTGTTCATTCCTGGAATTCAGGATTACGAAAGTGGTTTAATAATGAGTAGTTTACCTAAGCAGGAGTGTTTTTGTGGTATGGTATAATAACCCCAGTTAAATTCACTAAATTGATTGTAGGGCCACATCCCAGGGATTTGATTGAAGTCGTTTTCTTCGCCTCCGGCTTCTATTAAAAGAATACTAATTTTTCGAATTTCGGATAGTCTAGTAGCTAGAATACACCCAGCTGTTCCCGCTCCGACTATGACCACGTCGTATATACCATAGTCTAAAAACAAAAAGTAAAATCGTTGCGAATTGACTTTGTTTTCTACCGTTTATTTCGTTAGATTCGAATCCCGATCTGAATTCCTCGTTCTTTTTGGGCAGCTCGTATGTGAGTGATTTTGCAGTTTCTTGAGATATTAGTTTTTGATAGTAGTCGGTGGTAAGTGAGGCACTTACAGCACCAATCAATAAATAAATAAATGCCTCAAATAAAAGTGGCATGATTAGGAGATTTTTTTAGCACCCGAATAGTTTTTTTCGCTGTATTTGACTTTGAACTAGTTTTCCTTAATGCAGCAAACCTGGTTTTTATCCATTCCCTGGCATTTATGGCTCCATTTGATTTCTGCTTTGCCACATTATTATTATATATGCCGTCTTTAAATCATTCTTATTTATTAGAATTTACCTAGTTGACAGTAGGTATCAATGAATTATTGTGGTAGAGTTTGACAGAAGCTAGGGTTACGACCAATATTTCATTTAGAATTATTACTTAAAAGATACTAAAGTTCAGATTTAAAAATTGATTTGATTTAATTTTAAAATTATAGGATTTGCTATAAAATTTTATTATCAACAATCAAATTTTAACACGAATAAAAGCAGAATGACAAAAACTTTATGTCAATTTGTGTAAGATTCATGTATCAATTTTTTCAGAAATCGGTATATTTTTGATAACTGATACGACCACCGCGAATTCTTCCATATCAAATGGATTGCTTATGGGTTATAGCTTATATTTTGACTTGTGTGTAAAAGTCAAGCAAAAAGAGAAAAATGCCAAATAGTTCGCAATGTTTATTAAACATATGTCCATACAGTGCAATAAAAGAACCAATTATTACGAAAAACACCTCCAGACTCATTTTAGCCCCGATTTAATGATGTCTGCGCCCTTTTCGGCCACCATTGCCGTGGGTGCGTTAGTATTCCCAGATATCCCCAATGGAAAAACAGACGCATCAACAACCCTCAAGTTTCCAACCCCATGCACTTTCAACTTATCATCAACAACAAACTTCCTAGGATCTGGACCCATTGCTGCCGTCCCGCAAGGATGATAACCAGTAGCTCCCAAATTACGGATGTAACATTCCAAGTACTGCTTCGAATTTTTTCCACGATTACCACACATGGGAACATCAAGCATCGTAGCATTAACTTTTTTGAAAGCTTCAGTTTGTAAAAGTCGAAGTAAGTACTGCATCCCTTCAGTCAAAACGTCTACATCTTCCTGTTCCTCGAGCATGTTTAAATCAATGTTGGGAAAGTCGATGGGGCTGTTTGATTGCAATTGAATTTGTCCTCTGGATTTTTCGTGGAGGAGCAGCACGTACCATGCCATGACGGTTTCTGACTGGAGTTGCTTGGAAAATAGTTCAGCAATCGTGTTGTTGTAATTTTGGGTTCTTTGAAAAATAACGGGGTCAATGTTGGAGGGACTTGTCATAACGATTTGTATGGCAGGTCCTTCCGTGGAATTATTCCTGGTGTGGAAGAAACTTATACCCTCCGCGTTTGCTCCTTTGGTTAGAGGACCAAAACCGTTCAAATATTGTTCAACTGATTCCTCCATACTGATATTAGGGGCGGTGTAGTTTGAACGAACTATCAGATTAACACCTGGGTGTTCTATAAGATTCTTACCGACTGGTAGATCTACAACTAGTGGAATTTTCAAGTCTGTCAAGTGGTTTCTGGGTCCAATTCCCGATAACATGAGTAGTTGTGGTGTGTTGATGGCACCTGCCGAAACAATCACTTCTTTTCTAGCTCGCACTCGGAATTTTTGATTTCTTGTTACGAATTCTACTCCTGTTGCTCGTTTAGATCGTCGATCTATGGTGATTTTCGTCACCAGCGCTTTGGTTACAACTTTGAGGTTACCACGTTTTCGGGCATTGTTCAGAAATGCCATCCCAAAACTTTGTCTTCGACCTCGTCTAATATCAGTCTGTACTTTACCTACACCAATCTGTGTTCTACCGTTGTAGTCGACGAAGTTTAAGTTCGTTTCTAAACTAGCATTGACGAAGTGTTCATACAATGGAGACAACGGTTGCGGATGTTCAATATTCCAAAAACCACCTATTCCGTGATAACCTTCATCACCTTCGACTTGCGAATTCTCGGATTTTTTAAAATATGGAAGGACTTCCTTGCAGGACCATCCACGATTTCCTAGTGCGGCCCAGTTGTCGTAGTCCTTGCAGTTGCCTCTGACGTACATTGCACCATTGATTGAACTTCCGCCCCCTATTACCTTCCCTCTAACAATTATACATTGTGAGTTGTTCATTCCTGGAATTCAGGGTTATTAAGTGTGAGTTAATCGTGAATAGTTTACCTAAACAGGAATATTTTTGTGGTGTGGTATAATAGCCCCAGTTGAATTCGCTAAACTGGTTGTAGGGCCACAACGCGGTCATTTGATTGAAATCGTTTTCTTCACCTCCAGCCTCTAGTAAGAGGATACTAATTTTCGCAATTTCCGATAGTCTAGTGGCTAGAATACACCCCGCTGTACCTGCTCCTACTATAACCACGTCGTATTCACCATAATCTAAAAACCGGAATGAAATAGTTGACAAAGTACTGGTTTCTTTACCGTTTATAGCGTTAGATTCGAACCCTGTTCTGAATTCTTCGTTCTTTTTAGGTAGTTGGTACAGGAGCGCTTTTGCACTTTCTTGAGATATTAATTGTTTGTAGTAGTCAGTTGTAAGTGAAGCACCCACGAGACTTAGAAGTGAAAACAAAAATGCACCAAGTAAAATAGGCATGATTTAAATTTTATTTTGAGACCCCATTAAACAGTTTGACGACTGCTTTTTTTGAGACACGCTGCTTGTTTTTGAACCAGTATGTAAATAAATTGTATAATCAGTTCTGGTAAGTGTGTCGAATATTAGTTTTATCTTCATTTTTTTATACTTTTAGAAAAATTTACTACTTTGTTTTGCAACCATTTTTCAAAAAAACAGTAGTAAAAGTGGAACAAACGTTAGAAACCCTATTCAGAGAACGTAAATAACTTTATATTTTTTGTAAGATTGATGTTATTCTAGTGACATATTTTTAAGTAATAAACTTTATCGGCGTAAATAGAACACCAAACATGTATATCATAGATAAATTATTGCCATTTTCTAGTAATATAAAGATATACAATTTTCCATTTTTTAACAACACAATTTTCTTTTGATTAAATCGGCGGCCTTTTCGGCCACCATCACAGCGACAGCGTTTGTGTGTCCCGGTACCGGTAGCGGAAAAACAGACGCGTCAACCACCCTCAAATTTTTGATTCCGTGCACTCGCAAAGTATCATCGAGCACGAACTTTTCCCCGTCTGGTCCCATTGCTGCCGTTCCACAGGGATGGTAAATGGTGACAGCCACGTTACGAATTAAACATTCCAAATACCCGTTCGAATCCTTGTCGAAATTGGTACATATTGGTACTTCAAGAAGCGTGACATTTAATTTTTCGAAAGCTTCCGTTTTTGTGAGATTGAATGCATACTGCAACCCCTCAATCAAACTATCTACGTCTTCTTGTTTCTCAAACATGTTTAAATCAATGTTGGGAAAGTCAATCGGACTGTTTGACTTCAACCAAATTCGGCCTCTGGATTTTTCGTTTAACAATATTACAAAAATGCTTAAGTCGCTTTTGGGGTTAATTTTTTTGATGAATGTGTCACCAATCGTGGCGTTGAAATTCATAGCTCTTTGGAATATAGTTCGATCGATGTCAAAGGGTGGTGAGAAAAGCAACTCTATTGAGGGTGTTTCTTGACGTCTGTTGTCTGTGTTTGGGAAACCTATCCCGTCAACACCTAGTGCTTTCGTTAAAGGACCAAAACCTTGTAAATATAATTCAACTAAATCATCCATATTGGTGTCAGGTAGAGTGTAATTTGTGCGAACTACAACGTTAAACAGTGGATGTTCTATAAGATTTTCTCCAACCGGTAGATCCGCGATTACTGGAATTTTCATGTCTTTTAAGTGATTTTTCGGGCCTATTCCAGACAACATTAGTAACTGTGGTGTGTTAATAGCACCAGCGGAAACAAGTACTTCTTTTTTAGCACGGACATGAAATTTTTGATTCGTGGTTACAAATTCTACTCCCTTTGTGACTCTAGATTGTTGATCTATGATGATTTTTGTTACCAGCGCTTTGGTTACAACTTTAAGGTTACTACGTTTGCGAGCATTGGCCAGAAACGCGGTTCCAAGACTTTGTCTTTTACCCCTTTTGATACTAGACTGTACTTTGGCTGCCCCAAATTGATTTACCCCGTTGTAATCAACAACCCGTTGGTTAATTTGTAAACCACCGTTGATGTAGTTGTTAAATAGTACAGAAGACGGAAGGGAATATTCAACATTCCAGAACCCTTTTTTTCCGTGGTAACCTTCATCGCCATGGATTTGCGAGTTCTCGGATTTTTTAAAATAAGGAAGAACGTCTTTGCAAGACCATCCACGATTTCCTAAAGCAGTCCATTTGTTGTAGTAATTGCACCCACCTCTAGCATAGATCAAAGCGTTGATAGCACTACTACCACCGATTACCTTTCCTCTGGGAATTATACATTGTCTGTTATTCGTCCCTTGAAAATAAGTTCAGATAGTGTTACTCTCAAACTATTTGTTTTACCGAGACAGGAATATTTTTGTGGCGTGGTGTAATAACCCCAATTGATATCACTGAATTGATGATACAAAAACATGGCAGGTATTTGATTGAAGTCATTTTCTTCATCCCCAGCTTCCAATAATAAGATACTAAGGTTTTCAATTTCTGATAGTCTTGTGGCTAAAACACACCCAGCTGAACCTGCTCCCACTATAACCACATCATATTCGCCATATTCTACAATTGTCTGAGCTTCAACACCTTCTTTGAATTCTTCATTATTTTTGGGTAAGTCGTACGACAACGCTTTCTTGGTTTCTTGGTTTATTAATTCTTGGTAATAATTAGTGGTAATGGAGCAGCTCACAACACCTAGGACTAAACATAGAGTTGCTCCCAAAGAAACCATCATGCTATAACTACTCTACTGATTTGTTGACTTTCGACTGATTTTGCTTTATATTGAACGTGGAATTAATGTATTCGTGCTTATCATTTCAACAATTGGGTTAGGGTTAGTCTGTTTTTATTCTGATTAATAATAACCATAAATAAGATAACAATGATAAAGTACCTAGTACCCTAATTTAGTTTTGATAATATCGGCAGCTTTTTCCGCGACCATCACCGTAGGCGCATTTAAATTCCCCGACACAGACCACGGAAAAATAGACGCGTCTACCACTCTCAAGTTCTTAAATCCATGCACCCGTAACGCATCATCAACGACAAACTTCCTGGGATCTGGTCCCATCGCTGCCGTTCCACAAGGATGAAAAACGGTAGCCGCCATGTTGCGAATTACGCACTTCAGTTGCTGTTTCGTGCGTCTAAAATTAGTACAAATTGGGACTTGAAGGAGTGTCGCATTGATTTTTTTAAAAGCGTCAGTTTCCAAAAGACTGAGTGTGTACTCCACCCCTTCGACGAGTGTATCCACATCTTCCTGTTCCTCGAACATGTTTAAATCGATTTTGGGGAAGTCAATCGGGTTGTTTGAGTTTAGTAAAATTCGACCTCTGGATTTCTCGTGGAGGAGCATTACGTAGATGAGGATCTCGCTTTCGGGTTTGATGTTTTTGAGGAATGTTTCACTGATGGTGTTGTTGTAGTTGAGGCTTCGGCGAGAGATAGAGGGATCGATGTCATTTGGGGGTGCGAAAGCGATTTGAATGGAAGGTACTTGGGAATTGTTTTTGGTGTGGATGAAACCGGTACCATCGGCACTACCTCCTTTCGTTAAAGGACCTAAACCGTTTAAATATCGTTCTACTAAGTTCTCTAAAGTGGCGTTAGGTTCCGTATAGTTTGTACGAAATATCAAATTAAGCAGTGGGTGTTCGATCAGATTTTGACCAACAGGTAGATCAACGATTAGGGGAATTTTCATTTCTTTTAAATGCTCTCGTGGTCCTATTCCTGACAATATTAGTAACTGTGGTGTGTTGATAGCACCTGCCGAAATGACAACTTCTTGTCTAGCTCGTACTTGGAATCTTCTATTCTGGGTTACGAATTCTACTCCTGTTGCTTGTTTAGATCGTTGATCTGTGGTGATTTTTGTTACTAGTGCTTTAGTCACGACTTTGAGATTGCTACGTTTCCGGGCGTTGTTCAAAAGTGCGGTCCCAAGACTTTGTCGTCGCCCTCTTTTGATATTAGTTTGGAATTTCGCGGAACCGGTTTGGTTTTCACCGTTATAGTCCCCAAATGATTGTTTTCTTTCTAAACTACCGTTAACAAAGTTGGCAAATAATGGAGACGATGGTAGGGCGTACTCGATGTTCCAGAAACCTCCTATTCCATGGTAATTTTTATCCCCCTCGACTTGCGAATTTTCGGATTTTTTGAAATAGGGGAGGACATCTTTGCAAGACCAGCCACGATTTCCTAGTGCCGCCTAGTGGTCGTAGTCCTTGCAGTTTCCCCTGACGTACATTACCCCATTGATGGGACTACTACCACCTATATATAACCTTTCCTCTAGGAATCACACATTGTCGGTTTGTCATTGCTGGAATACAGGGTGACATAATGGAACATCGGTACGTGGTACTTTACCTAAACAGGAGTGTTTCTGTGGTGTAGTGTAATAACCCCAATTCAGTTCGCTGAACTGATGGTACAACCACATCGCTGGTATTTGATTGAAGTCATTTTCCTCTCCTCCAGCTTCTATCAGTAAGATGCTAATTTTTATCTATTTCTGATAGTCGCGTAGCTAAAACAGAACCAGCTGAACCTGCTCCAACCACCACCACGTCGTATTGACCATATTCTAAAAACCAAAAATGAAATAAGTGTGCGTTTTTTCCGTCTTGTACCATCTATAGGAGATTTGAAGCCAGTTTTGAACTCTTCATTATTTTTTGGCAACACGTAACTTAGCGCATCTCCAGTTTTTTGAACTATTAATTGCTGGTAGTAGTCACTGGTGGTTGAGCAAGCCACAGTACCCAGAAATAAATATAAATGTGTCTTAAGCAAGAGAACCATGATGTGAGTGTATTTAGAGTGTAGCTATTTCTGTGACTTTACAAGAAATAAAGCTTGTGAATATCAGAATTAAAATTTATTTTATTTACTTTATCAGTTCTCTGACGTTTATAGCCTCTTTTTTATTATTTAATGGCAGGGGGAAATTTTGCTTGCTACAAAAACAGAGCAATGAATATTTTTAATGACACACATTCCGTTAGCTAAAGAAGACATATAGAAATTATTTTGTTGGCATCGTCAGTTCCATTTTTACTTGTGCGTAAAGTTACGATAACTTTTCAGTGTGAACAGTTAAAGTCACATAAATGTTTTCAAGACGATTTACAAAGTGCGACAATGACACATTTTCCCCTAACTGGCTATCGCTATGTTAATGTTACACTCGCTGACTTTTTTACCTCAGGGTCGCATGGCAAATTTCAAAATTATGACCTAACTAAAACAATAGTAATTTAAAAATTCTTAGATATGCAACACGCAGGTTTACACCTCCCACAATTTCGGCATCTGCAGGCGCCTGCGTTTCGTGTCATTTCCCTGTGTTGTATGATTGTGGTACTCGTGAGTTAATTTTAATTGTTTTGGTAAGAATTTTAAATCGTGTTGTTGCGAGCTTTCATCGTTGAATCTATTTCTAGTTGAATCATGCTTGCTGTTTTAACCTGTTCAAAAAACTGGAAAAAGCCGCTTTTATGCCCTTTGACTTCAAAAGAAGAACAGCTACATTATGTCAGCAACACTTTTTTGCCTATACCAGGGATTCAAGTGTATGACATCATTCCACAAGAAAAAAAAAATGACCGTGAGCCATGTGGTTGGGTGGTGAAATGTCGTCACACTTTTGAGCCCAAAAATTATGAGAAAATTGGACTGTATAACTATACGTACGGATTGGTAAAGGAACAGGAGCCCCGTAATACTACAAATTTGGAGCTAGTGATGCTTGGTGCGAATGAATTTAAAGTTATATACACTCTTGTTTGTGGCTGCTAATTGATAAATTCTTAAATTCATTGAATAGTGTGATAGCTCTCTGATAGTTTTTTACTTTTTTTGTAACGAGATTTTTATTATACTTTTTACCACTTTCGTGTTTCTTTAGATACATTTACACAACGATAATAAACAACGGCGAGGTGAACTGCTTCCCTATCATTAAAAGTAACTTAAGTAGTTGAAGTAACGAAAAAACACATGTACCCGTTAATTTATTTAACAATACAATTTTTTTCATGTGTATAATTCGAATTTTCCAATAATCTGTCATTTTATGAAAACCTATATTTTCTTTTAATTATGTCTGCAATTTTCTCCGCCACCATTACCGTGGGGGCATTCAAATGACCAGAAGGCGACGTAGGAAAAATTCCAGCATCCACAACCCTCAATTTTTGAATTCCATGCACTTTCAAGTCACCATCGACTACAGACGTTTTCTTATCTGGACCCATAGCGGTGGTACCATGGGGATGATAAATGGTGGTCGTCATCTGACGAATTACGCATTCCCAGTACTCTCTATACTGTTTTCTCAGTTCCTTACAAACCGGAATTTCTAGAGGACGGGCATCAATTTTCTTAAAAGCGTCACTTTGAAAAATATCACGAATGAATTCTATTCCTTCAATCACAGTATCTATATCCTCTTGTTCCGAAAGCATGTTCAAATCCACATAGGGAAAATCAAGAGGATCATTTGATTTGAGGGTAATGCGGCCTCTAGATTTTGGATGAAGTAGTATCAAGTGGATCACCACGCCTCTTTGTGGGTCCAATTTGTTTAGAAAGTTGTTGCTGAGGTTGTCGTTGTAGTTGAAAGCTTTACTTACTATTTTTGTTTTGATTCCGGTTGGTGGTACGAATAAGTACTCTATGGTAGGTGCTCTGTTTCCTTGACCGGTGTGTATGAAACCGATGCCGTCTATACCGGCTGCTCTTGTGTAAGTACCTAAACCTTTCAAATACTGTTTGACAAATTCCTCGGTACTACGATTAGAAAGAGTATAGTTTGTGTTATAAACCAAACCAGGAAACAAAGCGTGTTCTCGAAGATTCATACCAACAGGCAGGTCTTCAACAACACCAATTTCCAGTGCTTTTAAATGATCTTTTGGACCTATCCCCGACAACATTAATAGCTGTGGAGAATTAACGACACCTGCACTAACAATGACTTCTTTTTTTGCTTTTACGAAGAATTTTTTGTGTTTTGTTACGAATTCCACCCCTTTTGCCACTTTGGTTTTGTCTATAATGATTTTGGTCACTAAAACGTTGCTCTTAACTTCAAGATTACGTCGTTGGCGTGCGTTATCTAAGAACGCTTTTCCGGTACTTTGTCTCTTTCCACGTTTAATAGTGAATTGTACTCGCCCTGACCCGATTTGTTTTCTACCATTGTAGTCCACAATGGGTTGATTCATTTGTAAGCTAGCGTTAAAAAATTTGGAAAGGAGGGGAGAAGCCGGTGAAGTGTAAGCCACGTTCCAGAAGCCGGTTTTCCCGTGGTAGTCGGGATCACCATCAACTTGCGAATTTTCCGATTTTATGAAATAAGGAAGAACTTCTTCGTACGACCATCCCGGGTTTCCTAACTCCACCCACTCATCGAAGTCGTAGCGGTTACCTCGGGCGTACATCATTGCGTTTATAGCACTACTACCACCAAGAGCTTTCCCTCTAGGGACGGCACATGCTCGATTTTTCATTCCTTAAACGACTGAGTTGGTTGAAGGTGACATAGTTGATTACTTACCTAAGCAGCAAGTAGTTTGAGGTGTACTGAAGTACCCCCAGTTCATTTTGCTGAAGAATAGGTGAAAGAACATGGAAGGTATCTGGCTAAAGTCGTCTTCTTCGCCTCCTGCCTCTAATAACAGAATTTTGTAACTGTCTATTTCTGATAGTCTGGTTGCTAATACACTCCCAGCAGAGCCGCCACCTACTATCACGAAATCGTAGGAACCATAGTCTGAAATGGTAGTACTCAAATGGCGATGTTTTGGTTCAGTATAATTGTTTACCGTGTGTAGTTTTCGATTGAACTCCTGGTTTGAATTCGTCGTTAGTTGTGGGTAGATTGTAAGATTCGGCTTCCGCTGTACGTTGGCGTATTAATTCTTCATAATATTTTTCAGTTATGGTACTACTTGTACCAACTGACAAATTAATTACTGAAACGACTAAAAACGCATACATATTCATTTGGTATAACTTTATTGACTGACTATGCAATTTTACCGTTTTAAACTTTAAGTACATAACTTACATTTGTTTGTTATCTGAGTACCGTAGTCGATAATATAATTATAGAGCATATTCGTTATTAGGCACTCATGCACAATTTAACTGTAATGCAATTTTTTGTGTGCATAGTTATATTTCTGTGTGATTAATTCCGCCTTCGGTATTTTCCTCAAAACCGTACTTCCTCTTAATATCGTCTGAAATTTTTTCCGCCACCATAACAGTAGGCGCATTGATATGGCCAGAAACGCTCGACGGAAACACTCCTGCTTCCACAACCCTCAAACCCCGAATCCCGTGGACTTTCAATTTGCTGTCTACCACCGACATGGTACCATCGATCCCCATGGCGGTAGTACCGCACGGATGGTACGTGGTTAAAGTCATGTGACGCAGTGCACATTCCCAATATTGTCTTGAACCTTGACCAAACTCCTTACAAAATTGAATTAACTTGGGTTCGGCGTTGATTTCCCTAAAAACCCGAGTTTCGAACAACTTGAGTGCAAACTCTATACCTTTAATAAAAGTATCGACGTCTTCTGGCTCTGCAAGCATGTTGGTGTCGATTTTTGGAAAATCGAGCGGGTTGGTTGACTTTAGGGTTACTGTGCCTCTTGAGTGTTCGTGGAGGAGTACAACAGCAACGTATATGTCGTTAGTCGGGTTGATTTCTTCCAGAAATTGGGTCAGTTTATTGTCCGAATTAAATATTTTGCTTACCATCTGTGCTTCATTGTTTCCTGAAGGTGGCACAAATATGTATTCCACGTCGGGTAGTTTGTCAGAAACGTTTGTAGTATTTATGAACATAAGAGCATGCATGTTGTATGATTTTGTAAGAGGGCCAAAAGCATGTGTGAACTCTTCGACCATGGTTGCAAAATCCGGAGGTTGTATGCTATCCTGGGTGTGAATTCTGAGTCCAGAGAATACTGGATGGTCTATAAGATTTTGACCCACAGGCAAATCTGCGAGTACTTTTATCCCCAGTTCTTCTAAGTGGTGTTTGGGTCCTATTCCTGACAACATGAGGAGCTGGGGCGAATTAATAGCACCCGCAGACAGAATAACTTCGTTTGTAACCAACGCCCGAAATGTTTGGTTTCGGTGTATAAATTCAACCCCTCGAGTTATTTTAGTGTCAGGGTTTATAGAAACTTTAGTAACCAATGCTCTCGTTACCACTTTCAAGGTTCTTCGCTTCCTGGCGCCATCTAAGAATGCCGCCCCAAACTTTGTCTTTTCCCTCTCTTCATATTAAATTGTGTGAGGCCTAATCCAATTTGATCTTTACCATTATAGTCCACAATTGGTAAATTTAGTTTCAAACTGGCTTCAGCTAAACGCAAAAAAAGGCGACTTTTCTGTGTGTTCTACGTTTCATAAACCGCCTTTCCCGTGGTAACCCACATCGCCATCAACCTGACTGTTTTCAGATTTGATAAAGTAGGGGAGGATGTGTTTGTAGGACCATCCCGTGTTACCCATCTCAGCCCATTTATCGTAGTCTTTGGCGGTTCCTCTGCTGTACACCATTCCATTGGTGGAACTAGAACCACCCACCACTCTTCCTTGCGGGATGAGGCACTTTTTATTTTTCATTCCTTGAAAATTTGATTAGTTGAATAGTGACACGTTGTGACTTACCTAAGCAAGAGTGTTTTTGAGGCGTGGTTGAGTAACCCCAGTTCAGGTCACCGTATAAGTGGCCCTAATCCAGGTATGTTGCTAAAGTCGTTTTCTTCGCCACCGGCTTCTAGCAACAGGATGCTGAAATTGTCAATTTCTGAGAGTCTGGTGGCTAATACGCTCCCAGCGGAACCCGCTCCAACTATGACGAAGTCGTAGGTACCAAAGTCTAAATTTGTGGGTTTAGTACCTTGAAATAGTTCACTTGAGTTCTTACCATTTGTGGTCTCTGAATCTGCTCCTTTAAACTCTTCGTTTTGTTCAGGCAGTACCGAAATTAGAATTTTTAAGGTTTCTTGATGTATCAACTTCATGTAATAGTCGGTAGTAAGTGAGCACTTTGTGTCATAAAAAAGTAGAAAGAATTGTATTATCAATAAGGTACTCATACTTCAGGTTTTATTGTCTGTTTGAAAGATTTTCTTCCATGACTAGCAATGTTATAGCAAACGGGTTTTAAAAAAGTGAAGTAAATTAATTATACCGGTTGTATAACCTGTTTGTCGCTTCTACGTGTTGTCTTAATTATTTTATTTAATCTGAATGTGTAAAGGACACAGAAAATAAGCCCAGCTGTTGAGAGGGTCAAAATGTCATAACAGTGCTGTGAATTACCAGATGCTAATTCTTTTGTTGTACATACTTACAAAAAAAAATTGTATTCTGTTGGTAACAACTTTTGTTTTATTCGATGCTATAAGGTAATCATTTATGCAAATTTCAGCGTAATTATTAGCTGCCGGCATATTAATTAAAGTGTTTATGACTCATTTGTTTTAAAATCTCGTGTTGCAGGGTCATCAACATGTGTCGCACGGCACACCCCCAAAACTCCCTCGAGAACTTATCAAACTCTCCACAAACCGGAATATTCACAAATGTAGCATTAATCCCTTGAAACGGCTGAGTTTGCACCAGGTCGAGTACAAACTCTATCCCTTCAACAAAATCGTCGAAGCCGTCGTCCTCTTCAAACAGATTTAAGTTAACGTTCGGAAAGTCAATTGGGTTAGACGATTTTAAAGTAACGCTTCCCGAAATTTCTGGTGAAGGAGAATCAAACTGAACGAAACATTAGACGAGGGGTTGAGATTATTTAGATAGTTTTCTATTAAGTTGTTGTTGTAGTTGTACATTCTGGCCACGATTGGACTGCTACTACCCGAATGAGGACTAAAGGTGTACATAACGGCTGGAGTACCGTCAGTAGTGTCTCCCTGGAGGAAGCCAAGAGCCTCGGTTGTTGAAGTAAGAGGACCTGAACCTTGCAAGTACTGCTCGATGGAGTCAAGGAAGGTCAAACCCAGGAATTGTGGGTGCTCCATGAGGTTTTGACCCTTTGGGAAGTCAATACCCAACTCTTCTAAGTGCTTTGACTGTCCTATGCCTGAAAGAATTAGAAGTTGTGGAGTGTTAATGGCACTTGCAGCCACAAGCACTTCTTTGTTTGCACTAACCCGAAATTTTTGGTCTTTGGTTGCAAACGCCACCCCTTGAACGCGCTTCGTTGCTTCATCGATATTAACTCTAGTGACCAGAGCTACAGTGATTACTTCAAGGTTGCTCCTTTTTCTGGCGTTATCCGGAATGCCGTCCCCTCGCTTTGCCACTTTTTATTTAACTTAAAAATTCCCTGCCGATTTTTGCTATATTTTTATACGAGCCTCTTCAGCAATAATTCAAGAAATACGATGCGCAACACGCAGGTTTACACCTCGCAGAATTTCAGCATCTGCATGCCGTGCGTTTTGTACCATTTCCCGGCGTTGTTTGATTGTAGTACTCGTGAGTTAATTTTAATTGTTTTGGTAAGAATTTTAAATCATGTTGTCTCGATCTCTTATCTGTGAATCTGTTTCTAGTTGAATCATGCTACCTTTTTTATCCTGTTTAAAAAAATGGGACCAGCCAGCTTTGCCCCCTACGATTGTAAAACAAGAACTTCTAAAATCTATCAGCGACACTTTTTTGCCGTTTCAAAGCATTCACGTGTATGAAATAATTCCAAAAGAAAAACAGGCCGAGGATGAGCCATGTGGTTGGGTGGTGAAATGTCGTCACAACTTTGAGAGCGAAGATTATGAGGAGGTTGGACTACAACAGTATGCGTACGGATTACTCAACAAGTACAAGCCCCAAAATACCAAAAATTTTGAGGTAGTAGTCCTTGATGCGAATCGATTTAACGTTACATACACCCTTGAATGTGGCTGCTAATTGATAAATTCTTGAATACATCCAATAGTGTGATAGCTGCCTGATAATTTTGTATTTTTTTTGTAACGAGTTTTTCATTGTAGTTTTTATCACTGTTGTGCTTTTTTACAAAGATAATTAAATGCGAGTGTTATCGTTTCGCTAGATATGGATAAATATACACAATTTTATTTATATCTTTATTTCGGGAGAAAGACTTATTTCTCGTACATTTTTTTAATAACATCGGCAGCCTTTTCGGCTACCATTACAGTAGCCGCATTTATGTGTCCAGACACTGGCAAGGGAAAAATGGATGCATCTACAACTCTTAAATTTCTAATCCCATGTACCTTTAGCTTATCGTCCACTACAAACTTCGTCCTGTCGGGTCCCATTGCTGTTGTTCCACAAGGATGATAACAAGTCGTTGTCATCTGACGAATTAAACATTCCAATTTCCGTTTAATATCGTTAACATTATTACACATTTTTATGTCGAGCAGTGTGGCGTTAATTTTTTTAAAACCGTCAGTTTGTACGATTTTCGAAACATACCCCATTGCTTCAATCAAAGAATTTGCGTCTTCTCGTTTCGATAACATATTTAAATCAATGTTGGGGAAATCAGTCGGACTGTTTGACTTTAAGAAAACGCGCCCTCGCGATTTTGGGTTCAGCAGTAGCAAACTGATTGTTATGTCGCTTTTTGGATGAATTATTTCAGTTAAAAAAGCGGCAGTGGTTTCCTTCAAATTAAACATTTTCGCAAATACTGACAGATCTGGATTCGGTTCGCCGAATAAAATTTCAATTGTGGGTACTTCTTCTACACCGTTTCTGGTATTTATCAAAGCTACTCCAATCATACCAGCTGGTCTTGTAAGAGGGCCTAAACCTCTGAGATATAAATCTATTTTCTTTTCCATCGTGGTGTCTTGGATTGTGTAATTTGTATGTAGTACCAGAGGCAAAAACGGGTGTTCTATAAGATTCTTTCCGACGGGTAGATCTGCAATGACCGGAATCCCCATTTCTTCCAAATGCTTCTTAGGTCCAATTCCCGAAAGCATCAAGATCTGTGGCGTGTTAATCGCACCTGCCGAAACAATCACTTCTTTTTTAGCAAGAACGCGGAACTTTGTGTTTTGAGTTACAAATTCAACTCCTCTTGTGACGTTAGATTGTGGACCTATGATGGCTTTCGTCACTAAAACGTTTGTTACAAGTTTAAGGTTACTACGTGCACGAGCATTTTCTAGAAACGCTTTTGCAAGACTTTGCCTTTTCCCGTGTTTAATGCTAAATTGTAGCTGATTTGAACCAAAAGGGTTTATACCGTTGTAGTCTATAATTGACTGATTGATTCCTAAATTAGCAGCGATAATATTTTCGAGCAAATCTGAAGGTGGTAAAGAATACTCGACATTCCAGAAACCTCCAATTCCGTGGTAACCGTTATCCCCATGAATTTGCGAGTTTTCGGATTTTTTAAAATATGGGAAAACGTCGTCGCAAGACCACCCATGGTTTCCTAGGTCGCTCCATTTGTCGTAGTCTTTGCAACTGCCTCTGATATACATCATGCTATTTATAGAACTACTGCCCCCCACTAGCTTTCCTCGAGGGACCACACATTGTTGGTTATTCATCCCTTTAATGAATTTTTAGTTCGCATGACGACACAACGATTTTTCTTACCTAAACAAGAATATTTTTGTGGTGTTGAGTAATAACCCCAGTTTTTCCTACTCAACTGATTGTATATCATCATCGCAGGGATTTGATTGAAATCGTCTTCTTCATCTCCAGCTTCCAGAAGAAGTGTGTTGAAGTTGGCGATTTCTGATAAACGGGTTGCTAAAACGCTTCCAGCTGAACCTGCTCCGACTATCACGAAGTCATATTCACCATAATCTGAAATGGAAGGTCATTTGTGTGTTATTTTGACATGTATTTTTACTCTGTATGTCGTTAGATTCGATTCCTTTTCTGAATTGTTCGTTGTTTTTAGGTAACTTGTAAGTCATGGCTTCTCTAATTCGTCGATCAATTAACCGCTTGTAATAGGTAGTTGTAATGGACGAATTTACAACGTTTAATAGTAAATATATAATCACGGTGAATAAGGAATTCATTGTACCAATAACAATTGGTAATTTTTAAAATGTACTGAGCTACTTATGTTTGTATAACCAAGTTATAGTAGGAAATGCTACTCAGTTGTAATGTGTTTTCATGAGAGTATTTATATATATATGTGCAATTATAATATTTGTAGAAACTTGATTGACTCATTTAATAACAAATAACTTATAAAAACCTGTTACTATATTATTTGTATCGATATTATTACTTTTATAAACGTATTTACGGAACGATAATAAACAACGACGAGGTGAACCGCTTTTCGATCATTACAATGGCTGCATTTTTCTGCCCAGACATAGGCTACGGAAAAATAGATGCATCTAAAACCTTTAAATCTCCGGTTCTCCCGTTTCTGGTAATTTAAAACGTACTGTAATCATTCCGCCAGGTGTTGTAAGAAAAGGAAAAACCCTAGCATCAAAAACGCTCAATTTTTTGATTCCATGCACTTTCAAACTACCATCAGCCATATAATTTTTTTATTAGGAGCCATCGCAGTTGTACCGTCGGGATGGTAAATGGTGTTCGTCATCAGGCGAATTACGCATCCCCAGTACACCCTATACTTTTGTCTGAGTTCGTTACAAACTGGTATCAATATCCTCTTGTTCCGAATACATGTTCAAATCCACATAGGCAAAATCAAGAGGATCATTTGACTTGAGGGTAATACGGCCTCTAGATTTTCGATGAAGTACTGGCAAGTAAATCGTCATGCTTCTTTGTGGGTCCAATTTGTTTAGGAAGTTGTTGGTGAGGTCGTCGTTGTAGTTGAATGCTTTAGTTATTATTTTTGATTTGATTCCGGTTGGCGGTACGAACAAGTACTTTATGGTAGGTGCTCTGTTTCCTTGACCGGTCTGTATGAAACCGATGGCGTCTGTACCGGATGCTCTTGTGTAAGGACCTAAACCTTTCAAATACTGTTTGCCAAAGTCCTCGGTACTACGATTAGAAAGAGTATAGTTTGTGTTATAAACCAAACCAGGAAACAAAGCGTGTTCTCAAAGATTCATACCAACAGGCAGTTCCAGTGCTTTTAAATGATCGTTTGGATCTATCCCCGACAATATTAATAGCTGTGGAGAATTAACTTGAACTAACAATGACTTCTTTTTTTGCTTTCACGAAGAATTTTTTGTGTTTTGTTACAAATTCCACTCCTTTTGCCACTTTGGATTTGTCTATGATGACTTTGGTCACTAAAACGTTGCTTTTAACCTCAAGATTACTTCATTGGCGCGCGTTATCTGGGAACGCTTTTCCGGTACTTTGTTTCTTTCCACGTTTAATAGTAAACTGTAGTCGCCCTGAACCGATTTGTTGCCTTCCATTGTAGTCCACAACGGGTTGATTCATTTCCAAGTTAGCGTTAAAAAATTTGGAAAGGAGGGGTGAAGCTGGTGAAGAGTAGGCGACGTTCCAGAAGCCGGTTTTCCCGTGGTAGCCGGGATCACCATCAACTTGCGAATTTTCCGATTATGAAATAAGGAAGAACTTCTTCGTATGACCATCCGGGGTTTCCTATCTCCACCCACTCATCAAAGTCGTAGCGGTTACCTCGGACGTACATCATTGCGTTTATAGCACTACTACCACCAAGAACGTCCTTCTAGGGACGGCACATGCCCGATTTTTCATTCCTTAAACGACTGAGTTGGTTGAAGGTGACATAATTGATTACATACCTAAGCAGCAAGTAGTTTGAGGTGTACTGAAGTACCCCCAGTTCATTTTGGTGAAGAATAGGTGAAAGAACATGAAATGTATCTGGCTAAAGTCGTCTTCTTCGCCTCCTCCCTCTAATAACAGGATTTTGTAACTATTTATTTCTGACAGCCTGGTTGCTACTACACTACCACCAGAGCCGGCATCTACTATCACGAAATCGTAGGAACCATAATCTGAAATGGTAGTACTCAAATGGCGATGTTTTGGTTCAATATAATTGGTGTAGTATTCGATTGAACTCCTGGTTTGAATTCGTCGTTAGTTGTGGGTAGATTGTAAGATTCGGCTTCCGCTGTTCGTTGGCGTATTAATTCTTCGTAATATTTTTCAGTTATGGTACTACTTGTACCAACTGACAAATTAATTACTGAAATGACTAACAACGCATACATATTCATTTGGTATAACTTTATTGACTGACTATGCAATTTTACAGTTTTAAACTTTAAGTACATAAATTACATTTTTTTGTTATCTGAGTACCGTAGTCGATAATATAATTATAGAGCGCATTCGTTACTAGGCACTCGTGCACTATTTAACTGTAATGCAATTTTTTGTGCGCATAGTTATAGTTCTGTGTGATTAATTCCGCCTTCGGTATTTTCCTCAAAACCGTACTCCCTCTTAATATCGTCTGAAATTTTTTCCGCCATCATAACAGTAGGCGCATTGATATGGCCAGAAACGCTCGACGGAAACACCCCTGCATCCACAACCCTCAAACCCTGAATCCCGTGGACTTTCAATTTGCTGTCTACCACCGACATGGTACCATCGACCCCCATGGCGGTAGTACCACACGGATGGTACGTGGTTAAATTCATGTGACGCAGTGCAGATTCCCAATATTGTCTTGAACCTTGACCAAACTCCTTACAAAATTGAATTAACTTGGATTCGGCGTTGATTTCCCTAAAATCACGAGTTTCGAACAACTTGAGTGCAAACTCTATACCTTTAATTAAAGTATTGACGTCTTCTGGTTCTGCAAGCATGTTGGTGTCGATGTTTGGAAAATCCAGAGGGTTGGTTGACTTTAGGGTTACTGTGCCTCTTGAGTGTTCGTGGAGAAGTACAACAGCAACGTATTTGTCGTCCGTTGGGTTGATTTCTTCCAGATATTGTGTCAGTTTATTGTCCGAATTAAATACTTTGCTTACTATCCGTGCTTCACTGTTTCCTGAAGGTGGTACAAATATGTATTCTACGTCGGGTACTTTGTCAGACGCGTTTGTAGTATTTATGAATATGAGACCATGTGTGTTGTATGATTTCTTAAGAGGGCCAAAACCATGTGGGAACTCTTCGACCATGGTTGCAAAATCCGGAGGTTGTATGCTGTCCTGGGTGTAAATTCTGAGTTCAGAGAACACTGGATGGTTTATAAGATTTTGACCTACAGGCAAATCTGCGAGTACTTTTATCCCCAAATCTTCTAAATGGTGTTTGGGTCCTATTCCTGACAACATGAGGAGCTGGGTAGAATTAATAGCACCCCCAGAGAGAATAACTTCGTTTGTAACAAACACCCGAAATTTTTGGTTTCGGTGTATAAATTCAACCCTTCGTGTTATTTTAGTGTCAAGGTCCTATACAAAGTTTAGTAACTAATGCTCTCGTTACTACTTTCAAGTTTCTTAGCTTTCTGGCGCCATCTAAGAATGCCGTTCCCAAACTTTGTCTTTTCCCTCTTTTCATATTAAATTGTATGAGGCCTAATCCAATTTGATCTTTACCGTTATAGTCCACAATTGGTAAATTTAGTTCCAAATTGGCTTCAACTGAAAGCGAAAAAAAGGCAACTTTTCTGTGTGTTCTACGTTCCATAAACCCCCTTTCCCGTGGTAACCCACATCTCCATCAACCTGACTGTTTTCAGATTTGATAAAATAGGGGAGGACGTGTTTGTAGAACCATCCCGTGTTACCCATCTCCGCCCATTCATCGTAGTCTTTGGCGCTTCCTCTGCTCTACAACATTCCATTGGTGGAAGTGGAACCACCCACCACTTTTCCTTGCGGGATGAGGCACTTTTTATTTTTCATTCCTTGAAAAATGGATTAGTTGAATAGTGACACGTTGTGACTTACCTAAGCAAGAGTGTTTTTGAGGCGTGGTTGAGTAACCCTAGTTCAGGTCACCGATTTGCTTAAGTGGCCCTAATCCAGGTATGTTGCTAAAGTCGTTTTCTTCGCTACCGGCTTCTAGCAACAGGATGCTGAAATTGTCAATTTCTGAGAGTCTGGTGGCTAAGACGCTCCCAGCGGAACCCGCTCCAACTATGACGAAGTCGTAGGTACCAAAGTCTAAATTTGTGGGTTTAGTACCTTGAAATAGACCAGTTGAGTTCTTACCATTTGTGGTCTCTGAATCTGCTCCTTTAAACTCTTCGTTTTGTTCAGGCAGTACCGAAGTTAGAATTTTTAAGGTTTCTTGATGTATCAACTTCATGTAATAGTCGGTAGTAAGTGAGCACTTTGTGTCATAAAAAAGTAGAAAGAATTGTATTATCAATAAGGTATTCATAGTTCACGTTTTATTGTGTGTTTGAAAGATTTCCTTTCATAAATAATTATACCGGTTGTATTAACCTGTTTGTCGTTTCTACGTGTTGTTTTAATTCTCTTAATTAATCTGAATGTGTAATTAAGGACACAGAATATAATCCCAGCGGTTGTCAGTGTTAAAATATTATCACAATGTTAAAAGAATGCTGTGAATTGGCGCATGCTGATTTTGTTCCACAGCCATGATGTGAGTATATTTAGGGCGTAGCTATTTCTGTGAAATTACAAGAAATGAAGCTTGTGAATATCAGAATTAAAATTAATTTTATTTACTTTATCAGTTCTCTGACATTTATAGCCTGTTTTTTTATTATTTAATGGCATGGGGGAGAGTTTGCTTGATACAAAAACAGAGCAATGAATATTTACTAATAACACACATTCCGTTTGCCAAAGGAAACATAGAAATTGGTTTTAGCATCTCCATCTCCATTTTTACTTGTACGTAAAAAGCTAAGATAACTTGTCTGTGTAAACAGTTAAAGGTCACATAAATATTTTGGCGACAATGACATATTTTCCCCTAACCTGCTATCGCCAATGTTAATGTTTACACTCGCTGATTTTTTTACCTCAGGGTCGCGTTGCAAGTTTCAAAATTATGACTTAATTAAAACCATATTAATTTGAAAATTCTAAGGTTTACACCCCCCCAGAATTTCGACATGTGCATGCGCCTGCGTTTTGTGTCATTTCCCTGTGTTGTATCATTGTGTTACTCGTGAGTTAATTTTAATTGTTTTGGTAAGAATTTTAAACCGTGTTGTCTCGATCTTTTATCGGTGAATCTATTTCTAGTTGAATCATGCAACCTTCTTTGATCTGTCCAATAGAATGGAACAAGCCACCTTTACCTTCCTTGATTTTAAAAGAAGAACTCCTAAATTCTATCAGCACCACTTTTCTGCCGGTAGAAAGGATTCAAGCGTATGAAATAATTGCAAACGAAAAACAAGCTGAGCATGAGCCATGTGGTTGGTTGGTGAAATGTCGTCACACCTTTGAAAGCAAAAATTATGAGGACATGGGACTACGTGACTATGTGTACGCCTTACTTGAGGTCTACAAGCCCCGTAATACCAGACATTTTGAGGTAGTAGTTCTTGATGCGGATCGGTTTAACGTTATATACATTCTTGAATGTGACTGCCAATCGATAAATTCTTGAATTCATTGAACAGTGTGATAGCTTCCTGATAATTCTGAACTTTTTTTTTAACAAGTGTTTCATTATACTTTTTACCACTTCTCGTGTTTCTTTGACAAAGATAATAAGATATTTTTATTTATACTTTTATTTTGGAAGAAATATTTATTCCTCGTACATCTTTTTAATAACATCGGCAGCCTTTTCGGCTACCATTACAGTAGCCGCATTTATGTGTCCAGACACTGGTAAGGGAAAAATGGATGCATCTACAACTCTTAAATTTCTAATTCCATGCACTTTTAGCTTATCGTCCACTACAAACTTCTTCTCATCTGGTCCCATTGCTGTTGTTCCACAAAGATGATAACAAGTTGTTGTCATCTGACGAATTAAACATTCCAATTTCCGTTTAATATTGTTAACATTATTACACATTTTTATTTCGAGCAGTGTGGCGTTAATGTTTTTAAAAGCATTGGTTTGTACGATTCTCCAAACATACCCTAATCCTTCAATCAAAGTATCTACGTCTTCTTGTTTCGATAACATATTTAAATCAATGTTGGGGAAATCAGTCGGACTGATTGATTTTAAGAAAACGCGCCCTCTCGATTTTGGTCTGAGTAGTAGCAAATTTATTGTTATGTCGCTTTCTGGGTGATTCATTTCAGTTAAAAAAGCGGCAGTGGTTTCTTTCAAATTAAAAATTTTTGCAATTATTGACAGATCTGGATTCGGTTCGGTGAATAACATTTCAATTGTCGGTCCTTCTGGTACACCGTTTTTGGTATTTATAAAAGCCAGTCCAGTCATACCATCTGGTCTTGTAAGAGGGCCCAAACCTTTGAGATATAAATCTATTTTGTTTTCCATCGTGGTGTCTTTAATTGTGTAATTTGTATGTAGTACCACAGGTAAATACGGGTGTTCTATAAGATTTTTTCCAACAGGTAGATCTGCAATGACCGGAATCCCGATTTCTTCCAAATGCTTCTTGGGTCCAATTCCCGAAAGCATCAATATCTGTGGCGTGTTAATCGCACCTGCCGAAACAATAACTTCTTTTTTAGCAAGAGCACGGAACTTTGTGTTTTGGGTTACAAATTCCACTCCTTTTGTGACGTTAGATTCTGGATCTATGATGACTTTCGTCACTAAAATGTTTGTTACAAGTTTAAGGTTACTACGTGCACGAGCATTTTCTAGAAACGCTTTTGCAAGACTTTGCCTTTTCCCGTGTTTAATGTTAAATTGTAACTGATTTGAACCAAAACCGCTTCTACCGTTGTAATCTACAATTGACTGATTGATTTCTAAATTAGCAGCGATGATGTTTTCGAGCAAATCTGGCGATGGTAAAGAATACTCGACATTCCAGTAACCTCCAATTCCGTGGTAACCGTTATCCCCACGAATTTGCGAGTTTTCGGATTTTTTAAAATATGGGAGAACGTCGTCGCAAGACCACCCATGGTTTCCTAGGTCGCTCCATTTGTCGTAGTCTTTACAACTGCCTCTGACATATATCATGCCATTTATGGAACTACTGCCCCCCACTAACTTTCCTCGAGGGACCATACATTGTTGATTGTTCATCCCTTGAATGAATTTTTAGTTCGCGTGACGTCACAACGGGTTTTCTTACCTAAACAAGAATATCTTTGTGGCGTTGAGTAATAACCCCAGTTTTTCCTACTCAATTGATTGTATATCATCATCGCAGGGATTTGACTGAAGTCGTCTTCTTCATCTCCAGCTTCCAGAAGAAGTGTGTTGAAGTTGGCGATTTCTGATAAACGGGTTGCTAAAACGCTTCCAGCTGAACCTGCTCCGACTACCACGAAGTCATATTCACCATAGTCTGAAATGGAAGGTCATTCGTGTGTTATTTTGAGATGTATTTTTACTCTGCATGTCGTCAGATTCGATTCCTTTTCTGAATTGTTCGTTGTTTTTAGGTATCTTGTAAGTCCTGGCTTCTCTAGTTCGTTGATCAATTAACTGCTTGTAATAGGTAGTTGTAATGGAGCAATTTACAACGTTTAATAGTAAATATATAATCATGATGAATAAGGAATTCATTGTACCAATAACAATTGGTAATTTTTAAAATGTACTGATCTACTTATGGTCGTATAACCAAGTTATTCTGAATATGATGTGTCTTGAGTTGACAGTATTTATATGTGTCCAATTATATATTTATTTGTAGAAACTTGGTTGACTCATTTAAGAACATATAACCTGTTTTTATATTATTTGTAGTTACTATATTATTATTTTTATAAACATATTTACGCAACGATAATAAACAACAACAAGGTGATCCACTTCCTTATCATAACAACGGCTACATTTTTGTGTCCAGCAAAGGAAAAATACATGAATCTAAAAACCTTAAATCTCCGGTTCTGCCGTTTCTGGTAATTTAAAACGTACTGTAATCATTCTGCTTGATCTTGTAAGATTCCAAACTTTTGAGACATAAATCTATTTGCTGTTCCATCGTTGTATCTTTCACTGAAATAAAAGGTACAAGAATAATAAAAAATGCAAAGTTGTTTTACGAAAATTTATATTCTCTTTTAATAGTGTCCGCAATTTTCTCTGCTACCATGACAGTGGGAGCGTTCAAATGACCAGAAAGCGTTGTAGGAAAAACCCCAGCATCAACAACCCTCAATTTTTTTATTCCATGCACTTTCTAACTACCATCAACTACAGAACTTTTCTTATCAGGACCCATAGCAGTTGTACCGTGGGGATGGTAAATGGTGTTCGTCATCTGGCGAATTACACATCCCCAGTACTCCCTATACTTATTTCTGAGTTCTTTACAAACCGGAATTTCCACACGACGAGCATCAATTTTCCTAAAAGCGTCAGTTGCAAAAAGGTCACGAATGAATTCTATTCCTTCAATAAAAGTGTCAATATCCTCTTCTTCCTCAAACATGTTTAAATCAACATTTGGAAAATCAAGAGGATCGTTTGATTTGAGGGTAATGCGGCCGCTAGATTTTGGGTGAAGGAGAACCAAGTATATCAGAATGCTTCTTTGTGGGTCAATTTGGTTTAACATTTGGTTGGTGAGGTCGTCGTTGAAATTGAATGATTTAGTTAGTATTTTTGATATGTTTCCGGCTGGCGGTGCGAACAAGTACTCTATCGTAGGGACTGTGTTTCCACCGGTGTGTATGAAACCGACACCGTCTGTGCCGGCTGTTTTTGTGTAAGGACCTAAACCTTTTAAAAACTCTTTCACAAATTCCTCGGTACTAAGACCAGAAAGAGTATAGTTTGTGTTATAAATCAAACCAGGGAACATAGGGTGCTCTTTGAGATTCATACCAACAGGTAAATCTTCAATTACGTCAATTTTCATTGTTTGTAAGTGGCTTTGTGGACCTACCCCCGATAACATTAGTAGTTGTGGGGAATTAATAGCACCTGCACTAAGAATGACTTCTTTTTTTGCTTTCACAAAGAATTTTTTTTCTTTTGTTACGAATTGTACCTGATTTGCCGTTTTGGTGTGATCTATGACGACTTTGGTTGCTAAAACTTTGCTCCTAATTTTAAGGTTGTTACGTTGGCGAGCGTTTTCTAGGAACGCTTTTCCAGTGCTCTGTCTCTTTCCGTGTTTAATGGTGAATTGTATTCGCCCTGAACCAGTTTGTTTTCTACCATTGTAGTCCACAATGGGTTGATTCATTTGTAAGCTACCGTTAAAGAAATTGGAAAGTAGGGGTGAAACTGGTGAAGAGTAGGCGACGTTCCAGAAGTCCCCTTTGCCGTGGTAACCTGTATCACCATCAACTTGCGAATTTTCAGATTTTATGAAATAAGGAAGGACTTCTTCGTACGACCATCCAGAGTTTCCTAATTCCACCCATTTGTCGAAGTCGTGGCGATTACCTCTGACGTACATCATGGCGTTTATGGCACTGCTACCACCCAGAGCTTTGCCTCGGGCGACCGTACATGAGTGATTTTTCATTCCTTGAAAGTTAAGTTGGTCAAGAGTGACGTAGCTGGTTTACCTACCTAAGCAGCAATTGGTTTGAGGTGTGCTGAAGTACCCCCAGTTCATGTCGCTGAAAATTAGGTAAAAGCTCATGGAAGGTATCTGACTAAAGTCGTCTTCCTCGCCACCTGCCTCTAATAAGAGGACATTGTAACTATCTATTTCTGATAGTCTGGTTGCTAGTACGCTGCCAGCAGAACCGGCACCTACTATTACGAAATCGTAGGAACCATAGTCTGAAAGTGTAGTACTAAAGCGTCAATGTTTTGGTTTAATATGATTTTTTACACTGTGTAGTATTCGACTGAATCCCCACTTTGAATTCGTTGTTGTTGGTGGGCATATTGTAAAATTCTGCCTCTGATATTCGTTGACGTGTTAATTTTTCGTAATATTTTACGGTTGTAGTACTACTTGCAACTGATAGAGGAATAAGTGAAACGACTAGCAACACATACATGCTGACTTGGTATGAGTTAGTTCCCAGATCCTATTTTGCACTATGCGAGAAAATTTGCATTGATAGTAGTTTTAAACTTTAATGGTGAAGCATATGTTTAAATGAATATTACCTGACGCACATGGTGGATAACGATGTAGAATAAAGTAATGAAGAAACATAGCAACTCGTTAATTTATTTAACAATACAATTTTTCGTTGTTTTATGAAAACCTATATATTTTTTTAATTATGTCTGCAATTTTCTCTGCCACCATTACAGCGGGAGCATTCAAATGACCAGAAGGCGACGATGGGAAAACTCCAGCATCCACAACCCTCAATTTTTGAATTCCATGCACATTCAAGTCACTATCAACTACAGAGGTTTTCTTATCTGGACCCATAGCGGTGGTACCATGTGGATGATAAATGGTGAGCGTCATGTGGCGAATTACGCATTCCCAGTACTCTCTATACTGTTTTTTGAGTTCCTTACAAACTGGAATTTCGAGAAGACGGGCATCAATTTTCTTAAAATTATCAGTTTCAAAAAGATTCCGAATGAATTCTATTCCTTCAATAACGGCATCAATATCCGCTTGTTCCGAAAACATGTTCAAATTCACATAGGGAAAATCAAGAGGATCATTTGACTTGAGGGTGATGCGGCCTCTAGATTTTGGGTGAAGTAGTGCCAAGTAAATCAGTATGCTTCTTTGTGGGTCCAATTTGTTTAGGAAGTTGTTGGTGAGGTCGTCATTGTAGTTGAATGCTTTACTGACTATTTTTGATTTGATTTCGGTTGGCGGTACGAACAAGTACTCTATGGTAGGTGCTCTGTTTCCTTGACCGGTGTGTATGAAACCGATGGCGTCTGTGCCGGCTCCTCTTGTGAAAGGACCTAAACCTTTCAAATACTGTTTGACAAATTCCTCAGTACTACGATTAGAAAGAGTATAGTTTGTGTTATAAATCAAACCAGGAAACAAAGCGTGTTCTCGAAGATTCATACCAACAGGCAGGTCTTCAATTACATCAATTTCCAGTGCTTTTAAATGGTCTTTTGGACCTATCCCCGACAACATTAATAACTGTGGAGAATTAACAACACCTGCACTAACAATGACTTCTTTTTTTGCTTTCACGAAGAATTTTTTGTGTTTTGTTACAAATTCCACTCCTTTTGCCACTTTGGATTTGTCTATGATGACTTTGGTTACTAAAACGTTGCTCTTAACCTCAAGATTACTTCGTTGGCGCGCGTTATCCAAGAACGCTTTTCCGGTACTTTGTCTCTTTCCACGTTTAATAGTGAATTGTAGTCGACCTGAACCGATTTGTTGTCTCCCATTGTAGTCTACAACGGGTTGATTCATTTTCAAGCTAGCGTTAAAAAATTTGGAAAGGAATGGTGAAGCTGGTGAAGAGTAAGCGACGTTCCAGAAGCCGGTTTTCCCGTGGTAGCCGGGATCACCATCAACTTGCGAATTTTCCGATTTTATGAAATAAGGAAGAACTTCTTCGTACGACCACCCGGGGTTTCCTAACTCCACCCACTCATCGAAGTCGTAGCGGTTACCTCGGACGTACATCATTGCGTTTATAGCACTACTACCACCAAGAACTTTCCCTCTAGGGACGGCACATGCCCGATTTTTCATTCCTTAAACGACTGAGTTGGTTGAAGGTGACATTGTTGATTACTTACCTAAGCAGCAAGTAGTTTGAGGTGTACTGAAGTACCCCCAGTTCATTTTGGTGAAGAATAGGTGATGGAACATCGAAGGTATCTGACTAAAGTCGTCTTCTTCGCCTCCTGCCTCTAATAACAGGATTTTGTAACTATCTGTTTCTGATAGTCTGGTTGCTAATACACTACCAGCAGAGCCGGCACCTACAATCACGAAATCGTAGGAACCATAGTCTGAAATGGTAGTACTCAAATGGCGATGTTTTGGTTCAGTATCATTGTTTACCGTGTGTAGTATTCGATTGCACTCCTGGTTTGAATTCGTTGTTAGTTGTGGGTAGATTGTATGATTCGGCTTCCGCTGTTCGTTGGCGTATTAATTCTTCGTAATATTTTTCAGTTATGGTACTACTTGTACCAACTGACAAATTTATTACTGAAACGACTAACAACGCATACATATTCATTTGGTATAACTTTATTGACTGACTATGCCATTTTACAGTTTTAAACTTTAAGTACATAACTTATATTTTTTGTGATATCTGAGTACCGTAGTCGATAACGATATAATTATAAAGTGCATTCGTTACTAGGCACTCGTGCACTATTTAACGGTAATGAAATTTTTTCTGCGCATAGTTATAGTTCTGTGTGATTAATTCCGCCTTCGGTATTTTCCTCAAAGGCGTACTCCCTCTTAATATCGGCTGAAATTTTTTCCGCCACCATAACAGTAGGCGCATTGATATGGCCAGAAACGCTCGACGGAAACACCCCTGCATCCACAACCCTCAAACCCTGAATCCCGTGCACTTTCAATTTGCTGTCTACCACCGACATGGTACCATCGACCCCCATGGCGGTAGTACCGCACGGATGGTACGTGGTTAAAGTCATGTGACGCAGTGCACATTCCCAATATTGTCTTGAACCTTGACCAAACTCCTTACAAAATTGAATTAACTTGGGTTCGGCGTTGATTTCCCTAAAAACCCGAGTTTCGAACAACTTGAGTGCGAACTCTATACCTTTAATAAAAGTATCGACGTCTTCTGGCTCTGCAAGCATGTTGGTGTCGATGTTTGGAAAGTCGAGTGGGTTGGTTGACTTTAGGGTTACTGTGCCTCTTGAGCGTTCGTGGAGGAGTACAACAGCAACGTATATGTCGTTAGTCGGGTTGATTTCTTCCAGAAATTGGGTCAGTTTATTGTCCGAATTAAATATTTTGCTTACCATCCGTGCTTCATTGTTTCCTGAAGGTGGCACAAATATGTATTCCACGTCGGGTAGTTTGTCAGAAACGTTTGTAGTATTTATGAACATAAGAGCATGCATGTTGTATGATTTTGTAAGAGGGCCAAAAGCATGTGTGAACTCTTCGACCATGGTTGCAAAATCCGGAGGTTGGATGCTGTTCTGGGTGTGAATTCTGAGTCCAGAGAACACTGGATGGTCTATTAGATTTTGACCCACAGGCAAATCTGCGAGTACTTTTATCCCCAAATCTTCTAAATGGTGTTTGGGTCCTATTCCTGACAACATAAGGAGCTGGGGCGAATTAATAGCACCCCCAGAGAGAATAACTTCGTTTGTAACCAACGCCCGAAATGTTTGGTTTCGGTGTATAAATTCAACCCCTCGGGTTATTTTAGTGTCAAGATCTATACAAAGTTTAGTAACTAATGCTCTCGTTACCACTTTCAAGTTTCTTCGCTTTCTGGCGCCATCTAAGAATGCCGTCCCTAAACTTTGTCTTTTCCCTCTCTTCATATTAAATTGTGTAAGCCCTAATCCAATTTGATCCTTACCATTGTAGTCCACAATTGGTAAATTTAGTTCCAAACTGGCTTCAGCTAAACGCGAAAAAAAAGGCGACTTTTCTGTGTGTTCTACGTTCCATAAACCCCCTTTCCCGTGGTAACCCACATCTCCATCAACCTGACTGTTTTCAGATTTGATAAAGTAGGGGAAGACATGTTTGTAGGACCATCCCGTGTTACCCATCTCCGCCCATTTATCGTAGTCTTTGGCGGCTCCTCTGCTGTACAAGATTCCATTGGTGGAACTGGAACCACCCACCACTTTTCCTTGCGGGATGAGGCACTTTTTATTTTTCATTCCTTGAAAAATGGATTAGTTGAATAGTGACGCGTTGTGACTTACCTAAGCAAGAGTGTTTTTGAGGCGTGGTTGAGTAACCCCAGTTCAGGTCACCGATTTGCATAAGTGGCCCTATTCCAGGTATGTTGCTAAAGTCGTTTTCTTCGCCACCGGCTTCTAGCAATAGGATTCTGAAATTGTCAATTTCTGAGAGTCTGGTGGCTAAGACGCTCCCAGCGGAACCAGCTCCAACTATGACGAAGTCGTAGGTACCAAAGTCTAAATTTGCGGGTGTAGTACCTTGGAATATGTCACTTGGGTTCTTACCATTGGTGGTCTCTGAATCTGCTCCTTTAAACTCTTCGTTTTGTTCAGGCGGGACAGAGGTTAGAACTTTTAAGGTTTCTTGATGTATCAACTTCATATAATAGTGGGTAGTAAGTGAGCACTTTGTGTCATAAAAAAGTAGAACGAATTGTATTATCAATAAGGTACTCATACTTTACGTTTTATTGTGTATTTTAAAGATTTTCTGTCATGACTAGCAATTTTATACTGAACGGGTTCTATAAAAGTGAGGTAAAATAATTATACCGGTTGTATTGACCTGGACGTGTTGTTTTTTTATTTAAATTATTTATAACTCATTTATTTTAATACCTCGTGTTACAGTATTATTGACAATTACTTGAAACCATATTCATTCTTAATGACGTCCGCTATTTTTTCTGCCACCATAATAACAGCCGCATTCGTGGGTCCAGAAATCGTCGACGGAAAAATTCCTGCATCCACAACCCTCAAACTTGCGATTCCATGTACCTTCAAACTACTATCAACAACAGAATTCTCTTCACTCAGACCCATCGCTGTGGTACCACAAGGGTGGTAAAGGGTCATCGACATGTGTCGAACGGCGCACCCCCAAAACTCCCTCGAGAACTTTTCAAACTCCCCACAAACCGGAATATCGACAAACGTAGCATTGATCCTTTGAAACGGCTCAGTTTGCACCAGGTCGAGCACGAAATCGATTCCTTTAACAAAATCGTCGACGTCCTCCTCCTCTTCAAACATATTTAAATCAACATTCGGAAAGTCAATTGGGTCAGACGATTTTAAAGTAACGCTTCCGCGAGACTTCTGATGAAGGAGAATCAAACTGAACGAAACATCAGACGAGGGGTTGAGTTTGTTTAGATAGTTTTCGATTAAGTCGTCGTTGTAGTTGTACATTCTGGCCACGATGGGGCTGCTACTACCCGAAGGAGGACTGAAGGCGTACATAATGGTTGGAGTACCATCAATACTGCTTCCATGGAGGAAGCCAAGAGCCTCGGCTGTTGAAGTCAAAGGGCCTGAGCCTTGCAAGTACTGCTCGATGGAGTCGTCCAAATTTGAACCTTGAGCGGAGTAGTTGGTGTGGAAGGTCAAACCCAGGAATTGTGGGTGCTCCATGAGATTTTGACCGACTGGGAGGTCCGCGATGACGTCAATACCCAACTCTTCTAAGTGCTTTGAGGGTCCTATCCCTGAAAGCATTAGGAGTTGTGGGGTGTTGATGGCACCTGCAGCCACAAGCACTTCTTTGGTGGCACTAACTCGAAATTTTTGCTCTTTGGTTGCAAATTCCACCCCTTCAGCGCGCTTCGTTTCTTCATTGATATTAACTCTAGTGACCAGAGCTCCAGTGACTACTTCAAGGTTGCTCCTTTTTCTGGCGTTATCCAGAAATGCCGTCCCCGCGCTTTGTCTTTTACCATGTTTGATGCTCAGCTGGGTTTTGGAAACCCCGATTTGTCCAGCACCATTGTAGTCAATGTTCGATTGATTCAAAGCGTCGTTAGCTTCCACGAAAACATCAAACAGGTCGGAGTAGGGTGTCGCATGCTCCACCCCCCAGAAGCCTCCTTTTCCGTGATAGTCCCCATTTCCCCCAATCTGCGAGTTCTCGGACTTCATAAAATAGGGAAGCACTTCCTCGTACGACCAGCCTGGATTTCCCAGTTGGGCCCACTTGTCGTAATCTTCCGCGTTCCCTCTCACATACAACACGGCGTTAATCGCGCTGCTCCCACCAATCGATTTCCCTCGAGGAGCCATGCACTTGTTATCTCTCATACCTGGAATCAACCCATCTGCAAAAACCCACCACTGTTTCGCTTTTATTTTACCTAGACAGCAATTCGCTTGCGGGGTCGTATAATACCCCCAATTCATCTCGCTGAACTGTAAGTACGGAAACATCCCCGGAATGGCATTAAAGTCGTCCTCTTCACCCCCGGCTTCCAGGAGGAGGATTCTCCAGTCGTCTATTTCGGAAAGACGGCTCGCTAAGACGCTACCTGCCGAGCCGGCTCCTGCGATAATGAAATCGTAGCTCCCGAAATCTGGAACAAAGGGTTAGATTGAGTGGGGGCGAAGTCGGGTTTTTACCGGTTGTTTCGTGCGAAGTGGCGAACTCAGAGTTGGTTTGGGGTAATTCGTAGACTTGTGCTTGCGTGGTGCGCTCGCTGATTAGGGTTTGGTAGTAGTCGGTCGTGAGGGAAGGAGTGACGACGCGGACAAAAAAGAGGGTGATGTATAGAAGGAGGAACATGTTTAATGGAGGAAATATCAGGAATGACTGACGGAATTACAAGTGGGAAATCAAACTGCGTCGTCTAATCTAGGCGGAGAATGGGTCGATCGATCAATTTTATCAAGTGCAGTGTTTTTAGAGGGATTAACAAGAATAACACGCGAGTGAAGTGAAGATTGATAAGGCTGTCGATGATTGCGTAAAAAATCTGGTAGGATTTTTATTAGCCAGATAATCTAAGAAATTCTACAATAGCAAATTTTATTTAAATTTTATAAAGTAACGTGCTCCTCCATTTGTGGTTTATGAATCCGTCTTGAGTTTGCACCTTAGGCATCCGGATTTTTGGAAAAAAAATACAAAATTGTATAACAGAAGTCGGGAATTAAACTTTGAAATTGCAAAATCGGATGCTCGAAAACTTGCAAGCGCTTTAAGGTTATCGGAAGCATGGTAAATCGTTAAAAAAATGTTCACGTCATTATACACTTTTGTCGAATATATTTTACAGAATTATGTACTCTGTATGTAACTTTGAAAAAAGGACGAAAAAAGACGAAAAAGGACGAGAAGGACGAAAAAGGACAAAAAGGAAGAAAAAAGATGACAAAGGACGAAAAGGACGAAAACGGACGAAAATGACGAAAAAAGACGAAAAAGGAGGACGAGGGCTAAAAAGACGAAAAGGAAGAAAATGACGAAAAAGGACGAAAAAGGACTAGAAGGACGAAAAAGATGAGAAGGACGAAAAAGGACGAAAAAGGACCAAAAGGACGAAACGGACGAAAAAAAGACGAAAAGGACGAAAAAGGACAATGAGGACGAAAAGGACGAAAAAGCACAATAAGGACGAAAAGGACGAAAAGGACGAAAAAGGACGAAAAGGACGAAAAGGACGAAAAAAGACGAAAAGGACGAAAAAGGACGAAAAAAGACATAAAGGACGAAAAAGGATAATAAGGACGAAAAAGGACGAAAAGGACGAAAAGGACGAAAAAAGACGAAAAGGACGAAAAAGGACGAAAAAAGACAAAAAGGACGAAAAAGGATAATAAGGACGAAAAAGGACGAAATGGATGAAAAGGGACAAAAAGCACGCAAAAGGACGAAACAGACGAAAAACACGAAAATGTCGAAAAAGGACTAAAAGGACAAATAGTACGAAAAAGGACAAAAAGGACGAACAAGGATGAAAAAGGACGACAAAGGACGAAAACGACGAAAAAGGAGAAAAAAGGACGAACAAGACGAAAAGGGATGAAAAATGACGATAAAGGGCGAAGAGGACAAAAAAGGATAATATGGACGAAAAAGGACGAAAAGGACGAACAGGACGAAAAAGGACGAAAAATCAACAAAAGGACGAAAAAGGACGAAATGGACGAAAAGGACGAAAAAGATCAAAAAGGACAAACAAAGACGAAAAGGACGAAAAGGATGAAAAAGGACGAAAAGGCCGAAAAGGACGAAAAAGGATAATAAGGACGAAAAAGGACGAAAACGCACGAAAAAGAACAAAGGACGAAGAAGGACGAAGGACGAAAAAGGACAAAAGAGCACTAAGGACGGAAATGGACGAAAAAGGACGAGAAATTAGGAAAAGGACGAAAAAGGACGAAAAGGACCCTAAGGACGAAAAAGGACGAAAATGGACGTTAAAAGACAAAAAAGACGAAAAAGGATGAAAAGGTCGAAAAGGACGAAAAAGGTCGAAAAAGGACGAAAAGGACGAAAAAGGACAAAAAAGGACGAAGAAGAACGAAATTTTCAAAAATTCGCATCTTATGCCGATTTTTTCGAAAATGTTGGTTGCTTCATGACCATTAACACGCTATAGATTTTTGAAATTTTAAAAAATTAGGATTTCGTACCGATTTTTTGGAAAATGTTGCTTTCTTGACCATCAACATGCTATATTTTTGGAATCAACGTGTCGAGATCTACGTCCCTGAATTTTTTCATAATTTTTAGACAACTTTTTTAAAATTGAAATTTTTAATGGTCCCCCTTCTTCAAATTTCGCAAAAATTTTGACATTTTCGAAACTCAATTGAATACATTTTCTTGTAGATTTCGAGCTCTAGAACTCAAATCCGAATTCGGTTCTTTGATAACTGCAACCGTTTTTCTAGAATCGACCGTTGAAATATCAAAATTTTTGAAATTTTCAAAAATTTGCATTTTGTAACGATTTTTTCGAAAATGTTGCTTTCGTGACCATCAACATGCTATATTTTTGGAATCAGCTTGTCCATATCTACCTCCCTGAATTTTTTCATAATTTTTAGACAACTTTTTTAAAATTGAATTTTTTTAATGGTCCCCCCTTCTTCAAATTTCGGAAAAATGTTGACATTTTCGAAACTTAACTACATATATTTTCTTGTAGATCTCGAGCTCTAAAACTCAAATCCGAATTCGGTTCTTTGATAACTGCAACCGTTTTTCTAGAATTGACCGTTGAAATATCGACATTTTTGAAATTTTCAAAAATTTGCATTTCGTACCAATTTTTTCGAAAATATTGTTTTCTTGACCATCAACATGCTATATTTTTTTCGAATCAACGTGTCGAGATCTACGTCCCTGAATTTTTTCATAATTTTTGGACAACTTTTTTAAAATTGAAAATTTTTAATGGTCCCCCCTTCTTCAAATTTCGCAAAAATGTTGACATTTTCGAAACTCAATTGAATACATTTTCTTGTAGATTTCGAGCTCTAGAACTCAAATCCGAATTCGGTTCTTTGATAACTGCAACCGTTTTTCTAGAATCGATCGTTGAAATATCGAAATTTTTGAAATTTTCAAAAATTTGCATTTCGTACCAATTTTTTCGAAAACGGTTCTTTCTTGACCATCAACATGCTATATTTTTGGAATCAACGTTTCGAGATCTAGGTCCCTGAATTTTTTCGTAATTTTTAGACAATTTTTTTAAAATTGAAATTTTTTAATGGTCCCCACTTCTTCAAATTTCGGAAAAATTTTGACATTTTCGAAACTTAACTACATATATTTTCTTGTAGATTTCGAGCTCTAAAACTCAAATCCGAATTCGGTTCTTTGATAATTGCAACCGTTTTTCTAGAATCGACCGTTGAAATATCGACATTTTTGAAATTTTCAAAAATTTGCATTTCGTACCAATTTTTTCGAAAATGTTGCTTTCTTGACCATCAACATGCTATATTTTTGGAATCAACGTGTCGAGATCTACGTCCCTGAATTTTTTCATAATTTTTAGACAACTTTTTTAAAATTGAAATTTTTTAATGGTCCCCCCTTCTTCAAATTTCGCAAAAATTTTGACATTTTCGAAACTCAACTGAATACATTTTCTTGTAGATTTCGAGCTCTAGAACTCAAATCCGAATTCGGTTCTTTGATAACTGCAGCCATTTTTCTAGAATCGACCGTTGAAATATCGACATTTTTGAAATTTTCAAAAATTCACATTTCGTACCAATTTTTTCGAAAATGTTGCTTTCTTGACCATCAACATGCTATATTTTTAGAATCAAAGTGTCGAGATCTACGTCCCTGAATTTTTTCATAATTTTTAGACAACTTTTTAAAATTGAAATTTTTTAATAGTCCCCCCTTCTTCAGATTTCGAAAAAATTTTGACATTATCGAAACTTAACTAAATTTGCCATTGTAGTTATAATACCCAATCGGTTTTTGAGGCAAATAGCAATAAATCTTGTTGATTTAAACGTTAAGAACTATCTTTAACAGTGTAGAAAATGATGGCAGTTATTTAGAATATGGAAGTTTTGGTAAACATTTGATTAAATGGCGCAATATTAGTGAACCTCATTATCTCTATCAAAATTTAATTTTCGTGGACGTACTGTTAACCTGAAAAATGTCTCCCGCAGCTTCAGGAGATTTTTCTTCAGGTTGCCAGCGCTGCACACAACCGCAATTTAGTTGTAACGGTGAAAGTTAAAATTTGGCCATCTTGATAAATGTCACCCCAACGGCAACGTCAAGGGATGATGTAAACGATGCATACCTTCTTTGCGTATTTATTCTTACAACGGAACGTCGACCTTAAATTGTCCACCCTTTTAAAAACGACATAATACGTTAGGACACTCTATCCACAGCTATCCGAACTCATTGATGCCGGTGTCTATTTTCGCGTCACTGTAGGCTTCGCGCCCTCGCCGACAGGTGGCGTCACTTCCTCAGCCTCATAAATTAATAACTAAACAAGAAGACTTCAATGAAAAGATGAATCGTAGTTTTTCTACACAGTGGCAGTTTTAATGAGCAGACTTATCGTCTGCGCTACGTCTGAAAGATTGCAAATATTCATTTCAGTTATGATTAAACCGCTTTTTATAATAAAGCCGCAGTTCCACGTTTACGGTTACACGTCCTAGTTTAGCAGTGACTAGCATTAGCAAAAGCCATAAAAGTCACCGCCTCGCATTTAATTACGACGTCCGCGCCGCCCCCGAAAATAAATTTGTTGAAACCGTAAGCCATATTCACTCCACCTGAAATCCCAAAGCTGTCCCAACAGGCGTAATCTCTGCAAATCCCGCCGCCCCACTCGCTTCGCACCCTCCCCGCCAGGTGGCGCCGCTCCCTCGGCCCTCCATTTCGCGAAATTAATACGTTTGTCGCAAGAATTGGCGGAATTACGAGACGTCTGTTTGTGTTTTGGGGGTAATTGTGCCGAGAACGAGGCAATATACAATATAAACTCAGTTTAAAGCTCGCGAACAGGGATGCTTTTAAACGCTACAAAAATGCAAATGGTGCGACAATTTCAAATTGAAACGAAACAACGGCGCCCATTTTTCGGTGGCCCATTACAAGTCGTAACAACCCTGACACGACATAATCCCGCCTCGAGTGCGAGGAAATTGGCCGGAAGTAATTCCATGCAGTCGGGGCCTTTCCGCCGCCGCCACAGAACTGCCGCATTAGAACGGCGGCGCTGCTGCACTCGGGGCAAGGGGGCCGAAAATCAAACCGCGAGGTCCGGCAGGATTTGGAAGAAATAAGTGTAGTTCTTCGATGTCACGCCAGCAAGACA